GAACGGCGGCGGCGGCGGGGTCGTGTCATCGGGTTTAGTGTCGACGCCGCCGCCGCCGTCGGCAGTGAGCACGGCGGTGAAGGTGGAGCCCAGGGAAGCCAGTGTGTCTCCCAGCAGAGCAACTACACCTCTCTCACATTTCACTATCAAGAGTGAGACTCCACCTCCGCCTCCACCACCATCCAAACGAGCAAAAGTGGTGAGTACTGAACTTGTGTTGTGTTGTGTGCAGGAGAGAAGCATTACCCACTGTTGTGTGTGGGGGGACTCCTCCTGTCAGTCACTTGACTGGTAACTAAACTATTCTTGCTGCATGTCTTCGTACAGGTCAATACTGCAGTCAGGTTTATGTAGCTACACTACACGGTAAGTTACTCTTATAAAATCTCAACAACACTCGCTTAAATCTATTATTATTATTGTTATTAATGGGAGTGTAAACTCAAGGAATAGGGAGATTATAATGTTTAATCAAGAAAAGGGGAACTTGTCTCCATTTCTCTAAATCAAGAGTCCACAGGTATCAAGGCTCCTTCTTCCCCTCCTCCTCCTCCTCCTCCTTCTCACATTTGAAGACTCTGCAAGGTAGAGTCATAGTTGCTACAGCTGTGCTGCAACGAAACTCTGGAAGCTGTTGTAGTTGCTCAACTGTTAATGAAATACTTGACGTTTTCCTCATTGTTCTGCTGAAGTCTCCCAGCTCAGGCTGACGCTGCTGAAGTCTCCCAGCTCAGGCTGACGCTGCTGATGTCTCCCAGCTCAGGCTGACGCTGCTGAAGTGTCCCAGCTCAGGCTGACACTGCTGAAGTCTCCCGGCTCAGGCTGACACATTTCAGCACTCATGTATGTGACGTACGTGTCTCTTCCTGTGTGGTAAAATATACGAGGGAAAGCTACTGGCTTTTGTTCTGTGTATCTAACACATATAATAGAGTATCATCATATATTCAGTTTTCTCATAAAGTCTACAGGGAAAAAGTCATAGTTTTAGCCTCGGTGAAGCTACCTAATTTTAGACTAATGTGCTGGAAAGAAATAGCCTAGTCTGTGTACATCATCTTATGCGATGGAATCCCTGGTCCCAGATTATTCCGACATCTTACCAGAAGATACCAGAAACACTGCTGGTACAAGTGGAAACGGGACAAATATCTTCATCAGGTGACAGATCAACCAGGCTGTGATGGATATTTGAGTCAGCGGACCAGCAGCAGCACAGTCTGGTTGACCAGGCAAGCACCAGACGAGCCTGTCCCATGGCCGGGCTCTGAGAGTAGAAAAACTCTGAACTCTTCAATGATGAACTGAATTCTCATTACAGGGAAACACAGGCAACCTAGTCTGTGTAGATGGAATATTACAAGAAAACATCTCAATAACAGCAAGGTGCTTCCCCCTCCCGTACTCAGTTTCGTAACTCATATATTATGAAAACGTATTTTTTTTTATTTTTCCCTTATGAATATATAGTTTTTTCTTGGCAGTAATAGGATTTGTGTATCTCATTAAAATAATTTATTCTATTATGTATTGGCTGGTCGCAAGGCTGACTACCACCATCAATCTAACTTCCACCTCCAGCGTAACTACCACCTCCAGCCTAACTACCACCTCCAGTCTATCTGCCACCACTAGTTTTGTTACTAGTTTTAACTCCTACCATGTCACCACCACCTGTACCATTCCTCGCCTCACAAGGCTCCTTGCTCAACACTCACCCCACCTGGCAGCAACATGCAACACTCACAATATTAACTCACAACTCTGGTGGACTTCAACTCGCAAAAATAATAGTCTCTCTACCCCTCTTTCTATGCATGACCTTTGAAGCTGCTGTAGCCTCCATGAATGACCTTTGAAGCTGCTGTAGCCTCCATGAATGACCTTTGAAGCTGCTGTAGCCTCCATGAATGACCTTTGAAGTTGCTGTAGCCTCCATGAATGACCTTTGAAGCTGCTGTAGCCTCCATGCCTCCTTGTTCTACTGAAGCCATAGTAGTATGTTTAACAGTATCCTTGTTGCCTCACTGAAGTCTTCCAGCGCATCACGACACAGTTCGTCACCTTATTTGTGAAACTCAGCCTGTATGATGGAGTGTGAGGGAAACATAGCTAATGTTTCCCCTGTCTTGCTCTGATAATACCACCGTGATGACTCATGAGGTACACACTAGCCTAGGGGCTTTCGGACAATATATAAATATTTAATATTTTAACACGCTGATGTGCCAAGTTTATTATTATTATTGCTATTATTATTGTTGCTGTTGTTGTTGTTATATTTGCAGGGAAGCGCTTAACTCGTAAGAGGTCATATAATGCCTGTAAATGGTAGGTATTAAGGTTTGTTCCGAGGATTAGGATAGCAAATCTAATTTCTTGGATCACTAGTAGCCCTTCATCAATATTAAGCCAGAGCTCCCTTGGATGGAGGTTTAATCCGAGGAGGATCCGGGGGGGATGGGGGGGGTAGCAGTTGAAGGGCGGTAGAGTACGTTAGTTGTATAGATCGACTCGCCTTGAGCTCTCTCTTCCTGTCTCTCTCTCTCCCTGTCTCTCTCTCTCCCTGTCTCTCTCTCTCTCTCCCTCTGTCTTTCTCTCCCTCCCTCTGTCTCTCTCCTCCCCCTCTCTTTCTCCCTCTCTCTCTCCCCCCGTTCTCTCCCTTACATTATTACCTGGTAATAACACTTCAGCTCGGACACAAACTTCCTCCTGGCTATTTTATCTTTTAGTTCGTGGAGTGCGAATTGTTCCAGCCACAGTGTTGATTTTCCCCGTTTATAGGTGCTTGGGAACATTGGTCATAGGTGCTTGGGAACACTCGTCATAGGTGCTTGGGAACACTCTCGTCATAGGTGCTTGGGAACGCTCCTGTCATAGGTGCTTGGAACGCTCCCGTCATAGATGCTTGGGAACACTCGTCATAGGTGATTGGGAACACTCTCGTCATAGGTGCTCGAGAACACACTCGTCATAGGTGCTTGGGAACACTCTCATCATAGGTGCTTGGGAACACTCTCGTCATAGGTGCTTGGGAACATGCTTGGGTATAGCCTCACTCCATAAAGATGGCAGCAAAGCACCCAAAAACTGCACAATCCAGGGCAATATGGGTTCCGGGCAGGTCGCTCCTGCCTCTCACAACTACTGGATCACTATGATATGGCCTTGGATGCATTGGAAGAAAATCAGAATGCAGATGTAATATACACAGACTTTGCAAAAGCGTTTAACAAGTGTGATCATGGCGTAATAGCGCACAAAATACGTGCTAAAGGAATAACGGGGAAAGTGGGGAGATGGATCTTCAACTTCCTAACAAATCGAATACAAAGAGTAGTGGTCAACAGGGTTAAATCGGAGGCTGCCATAGTGAAGAGCTCTGTTCCACAAGGCACAGTACCCGCCCCCATCCTGTTCCTCATCCTCATATCAGACACAGACAGAGATGTAACCCACAGCACCGTGTCATCCTTTGCAGTTGATACTAGGATCTGCAAGAGGCTGTCATCTGCTGAGGACGCGGTTAACCTCCAAGATGATATAAACAAAGTTTTCCAGTGGGCAACGGAAAACAATATGATGTCCAGTGAGGACAAATTCCAGCTACTCCGTTATGGAAAACTGGAGATAGTAATAACTAGAACAGAGTATACTACAGACTCTGGCCATACAATAGAGCGGAAAAATAATGTAAGGGACTTGGGAGTAGTAATGTCTGAGGATCTCACTTTCAAGGATCACAACAGTGCCACGATCGCACGTGCAAAGAAAATGATAGGATGGATAATGAGAACGTTCAAAACGAGAGATGCCAAGCCAATGATGATCCTTTTCAAATCACTTGTTCTCTCTAGGCTGGAATACTGCTGTACATTAACATCTCCACTAAAAGCAGGTGAAATTGCAGATCTAGAGAGTGTACAGAGATCCTTTACTGCACGTATAAGTTCTGTCAAGCACCTTAACTACTGGGAACGCTTGGAAGCACTTGACTTGTACTCGTTGGAACGCAGGAGGGAGAGATATATCATAATCTACCCTTGGAAAATCCTGGAAGGAATGGTCCCGAATCTGCACACAGAAATCACTCCCTACGAAAGTATAAGACTGGGCAGGCGATGCAAAATACCCCCAATTAAAAGTAGGGGCGCCATTGGTACACTAAGTGAAAACACCATAAGTGTCCGGGGCCCAGGACTGTTCAACAGCCTCCCACCAAGCATAAGGGAAATTACCAATAAACCCCTGGCTGTCTTCAAGAGAGAGCTGGACAGATACCTAAAGTCAGTGCCGGATCAGCCGGGCTGTGGCTTGTACGTTGGACTGCGTGCGGCCAACAGTAACAGCCTGGTTGATCAGGCCCTGGTCCACCGGGAGGCCTGGTCGTGGACCGGGCCGCGGGGTCGTTGATCCCCGGAATAACCTCCAGGTCATAGGTCCTTGGGAACACTCCCGTCATACGTGCTTGGGAACACTTGTCAAATACAGATGTATCTGAGGTGTTTGCAGCAGGGATCTGGAACATGCATGGTAGCTAACCATGACGCATGTCTTGTGGCGTGACTAATACACAGTCGGTGCCAGGGCGGCACCTAGGAGGTGGGCGGTGTCAGGGGCGGCACCTAGGAGGTGGGCGGCGTCAGGGGCGGCACCTAGAAGGTGGGCGGCGTCAGGGGCGGCACCTAGAAGGCGGGCGGTGTCAGGGGCGGCACCTAGAAGGTGAATAGTGTTAGAAGCGAGTTCATTGTAAGTGGTGAAAGGGGAGAGAGAGAGAAAGAACAGGAGTTAGAGTACACATCATGGCTTCCTTGAGTACTGGTTCCTCTCTGGATAGTTGATATTAGGAGCCTAGTATGTCAGAAGGCTGACTCCCCCCCCCCTCCATGCTTATCTTTTACGGGGACACTATACAAAACTTAAGAGGATCATCAAAATAATGATGTGAAGGACCTGGGAGCAATTATGTCGGCTGACCTTTCTTGCAAAAAAAAAAAAAA